GTGGTTTTATAACTGGCATTAGCGACATATCAGGTGGACAAGTAGTATTGGAGATACTTTGTGGAGCACTGAAGGTACTTTGTGGAATCGGAATAGGAGTAAATGAACTAATAGCATTACTGGTTGTGACCAAAGCGGTTGATACAGCGATACTTTTCGTTTTCGAATTTCCGATGATTTCCGGTACGGTAGACGTAGGAATGTTTGACACTTTTGAAAAAGAAATCTGAGTAGTGATCACGGTTGATCTATTTATGTCCCTTATGTCCGTGTCATCGCTATTGGTTTTTCGTACACAACGTTTAGCAACAATATTATCTGGAGAACGTCTATTGACATTGTTGGGAGTTGAAGATGTGTTGTTGAGAGCACTACCGGTATTTACTAGAGTCTCCAAAACGCAGAATGAATTGTATTTGTTCGCAGAATCTCTTAAACATATAATATCTCTAACTAAACTATAATACCTAAACAACCCAAAGATGGTTGTGATTATTAAATTTTTTGACTCAAGTTCTTGAGAGCATTGAGATTTTAACGTTTGAAGTGTTTGTTGGATTACGTCATTTGAACATGGTTTTAATGCGCATGTATTTTTTACGAACTGTGAGAGAACATTTAGTTTTCTTGATTGGTCATTTGAGGATTTATCGAGGAGTGATGGTAAACCTAATTCCAAGGACTTCATTGGAAGGCAGTTGTTTAAAGATTTGTCATCTGCTGCAGATGAAATAGATTGCGCGCATAAAGTTGTTAAATTGTTTGCGTTTGGATCTATTACATATTGAGCTTGAAGTGAATGAATCAAATATGTAAGTACAAATATATTAATGAAAATATTAATTAATAATTTATCACTCATGATTTATATTGGTTAAGGTTAAGGGATGTAATATGTAATTAATTGTTGGTAATTAGGGATATTGGATTTATGCCATACAAAGGAAAGTGCGAACGTAATTCGCCAAGCGAAAGACGTCTCTCGTTCAGAAACAATGAATCTTAACCACTCTTCTCCACGGATATTGTTGGTATCAAAAAAAGAAAAAGAGAAATTCATATATACATATATACATGCAGAATTAATTAGACACTTATTGACGTGATGATCATTGTTCTTCTAATGCTTGATTGTTTAAGAGATTGACCAAATGAAGAAAACAAGAGATGGTTTATAGTGATTTGTTTGATGTTTTTAGTAAAAAAAAAAAAAAAGGGTTAAACTATATGTTAAAAATATTAACTCGAAAACTTGCATCGTAAAACTTGGAGTAGAAGAAATTGTTCGCTATCACATGAATGCATGATTTGAACCTAAACAGCAGTAATATTACTGTATTAACACTGTATCGAAATTGAATACGTAAACCAAATCCACTATCCCGATATGGTATCGAGAT